TTTGGAAAGTGGAGGCCCAGAAACAAAATAATAAGATGAAGGAGAAAGATATTTCTTGTGTTTAAATTTGATGTAATAGATAAATTTTTGCTATTTCAATAACTCTTATTGCTATTTTATTTCAATAATGATTATTTGTACATCTACTATTTACTAAATTATTCAAAAATATAAATTATGGATAAAATTGCTGCTCTAAATCGTATAAAATTGTAATTCCTCACTAGTGCAATGTGCTTGGGCTTTCAAGCTACGTAGATGCTATCTGAGGTGTGTACACAGGAAACCGCGAACGTTTGAGAAATACAAAAATCGACACAAAACAGGGGTTTGGCCAGCTAAATCAAATTCAACAAGAGGGGGGAATTCAAGAAGTAAATAAATTACCACTGTGCCTTGCATGTGATGTGGTTCAACAATAAACTTCTCAAATATATCGTTCAGCCTGTTGTCCAAGACGGTGCTAATAATAAAATTAATGCTAGCTATTTATATATAAATAGCTCACGGAATGGCATATGAGAAGCACATACATGCAAAAATTACTCCCGAATTATTCTGCTGAATTTTCTCACTCGTTCTTATTATATGAGAATTTAAAGGAGTGAATTGAAGCCACATGTGAGCGTTTGCTGGGACGGGATTGTTATTACACTACGACTCCGAATCACGGAACCCGGTGCACAGCCAACACTCATGGGAGTGAAGAATCCCGGATAAATTCGAATCGTTCTTAAATTCTCTTTTCCTAAAAGCTTGGGAAAATTGAATCCTTGACCACAGGTGTTTAATCTGGGCAACGATTTTTGCCTTATTTTAACTTCTACCTTCTTAGCCCTCTATTCCGAATGTGTAGGGGAATATATTAGGATTGCCAAACGACGATGCTTTCGGATTAGGGGAGGTTGATCAATGGACTTGTCTGAAAAGCTCATTAAATAAACTCTTCTTCTCGGATGACTACGCTCGGGAGGAATTTTTCTGCACTAAAAGATGTCAAATACAGAGAGTTCTGGTGTTGAAGGTAAACTTCAAGATCATTCCACCTTTCTGATAAAATTCGGAAATTTTCTCTGACTATTTCTTCTTCTGCCTCTCGACTAATAGTTTCAGAGTAAGGTCTTGCTTTTTAAGTACTTCTAAGAATGTAAGGAGGCAAATACTAAATGTTTTGCTTTACAACGCGAAGATTGACGGCTCTGTCGGGGACCTTGGGGCTCGGAGTAATGCACACGGTTATATTTCAAAATGTAATACCACATTTTCAAGGCAATAAATAATAAATCATATTAGCTACATCAATAGTATAAATGCTTCTCAAATAAGTAATGGTTAGAATCTACATGATGAATTAGAAAATTAGACAACGAGAATGAAGCACTTAAAGTTTGCTTTCTCGTTAGCACTAATGGCCCGCCTGTCCGCAACAAGTGAGATGAAGAAATCAAAATTTTCTTCTTATCAATGTCAAGAAAACTCGTTGCAACCTCATTGTCAACAAACGTAAATACAGAGTGCAAGCATTCCACAGATAAAAGAAATGGAAGATGTAATCTTCTTACGTTACATGACTTTGTTACTGTTTTATGTCAAATAAGTTCGACTTGTTTGCGCAAAAAATGCGTCAAACAATTCTTGCGACAGTAGTCTTTGAAGTATTTTATTGTCGAGTTCTTCGAGAAAGCAATTTTGCAAGTCATTGGGTCTGAACGTACGGTTCCTACGTTCTGAAACCAATCGCATACAAAGGAATATTGCTAAAGGGCGCAGTTTAGGCGAGTCTTTGGCCTGTGATAGAAAGAGGTCCGAAGAATGAGAAGATGACATAACAAAGCGACTCGGATCATACCAAAGATTTCTGTAAGCTGCCTAAGTATCCGACTAACTACATAATAAAGGATTGTAATGGAATAGCATTAACAAATACATACATGTATTAGTGCAACCCCTAATCCCCTATTGTTCTGCCTTCTTTATTATTGAGAAGTTGCATTCAAAACATTTAGGAAATGAAACAGTGTTCTTGTGTGGGTAGGAGTGTCTATGCAGAGCCATTTTGGTAGTTATTGTAGCAAATACAATAAATTTGATTTGATAAATTTGGCATTTCATTTACAAATCAATACCATAGTTTTTCGAAAAATAAATTTATTTAATAGAGAAAATATATTTTTACATAAAAAAGATAAACACTGAAATACAATGTATTACGCATTGAAATAGTATATATAAGTACAACAGCATATCATCAAAAATCTACATTTAATTTATATATAAGTCAATGTTCAAGGACCAGTCCACATTAAAATTGCAGACATTACACTTCTTCAAAAATCAAAAATATTATTTTCTGATGATCTGTTTTCGTTGCATTACGAAATATATTGACTCAGTAAAAATAAATAGCTGGTAAATTTTTTGATACGAAATGAAAACAAATGATACGAAACAAACTAACCTTGAAAAGTCAATTCCTTACATACTACTTTCAACAATGAATTTTACTGTAACAATAATTGTAATTAGCTTCTGTGTCAATGACCCCCATTAAGACCTCACAAAGAATAAACAGTGTTGTATGATCAAATGTTGGGAAAATTATCAATTTTCCTTTATTCATAATTCAACTTTATGTAAGAGATAGAGACCATGGGGTGAGCAAGGATGGGTGAAAGGGGATGAGGGCATAATTCTCCAGAGTGTTTTTAAAGGACATTTGTAGCATTATGTAATAAAACACTTAATATCTGTAAATATGTTCAATCTCTGAAATTACCAATAGAATTACAAAATAACGGCGTATTTTAAATGTACTTAATATTTTTCATTATTTAAACATTACTTTCCAAACTGTTAAATTTTATGTAATTTGCAATTTTTAATGCTTATTAAAATTGCTTTAAAATTCATGAGCATGAATAGAGTTATTGTGTTAATATCAGTTCCTAACAAAATATCAGACTTCTTACAATGCACACATTTTGACAATAAGTCATTTTATAAACTACAAAATCATATTAAATGTATTTTACATACAATGTAGAATGAAATATGTGGAAAGTTCTTAAATTTCCACTAAAGCATGAAAATTTGGAAATTGCATGTTGCTTTCCCTGGAGTGCAATTTGAGACGAAATTGCAATTGCATTTGGGACAAAACAAGAAACATTCTAATCTATCCCTTAAATGTGGCTAATTCTGATTCAAGCCCCAATATAAGCTCCTAAAAGTAAAAAAATAAAAAATTCAAAAGTGGCACAAAACAGTAAAAAATGTTGAAATATCATTGAAACAACTCAGTAGAATATGGTCAAGTCAGAGTCTTTCCCTCCTACAACTGCCCAAAATCCATTTCAAAAATAGGCAAATTATTGAATGCATAAAATATGAGTTTTATTTAAGAAAAAAGTTCAATGTAAGTCCAGAAATGCAGTTACCCATCCCACCCTTCTTTTAGGCTGCACACACCTGTGAGACTGCAATTCTTCCGAAGCTCACGAGAGCATGCATATTGTTCTTCCCAATTTGTCATCACAATTTTTACTACAATAAATAAATGTAAATGAGAAGATTGAAACTTCTTTTCTCTGAATCTTAAGTTAATCTCTACATCTCTTTATTTGTTCATGAATGTGAAAATGTCTAATGATTAAAAGTACTAGTGCTCAAATGACTATTTCATCAATCTTGCTTTCTTCTACCTTCATGCATTTATATCATTGTTTTTTCTGTACAGCTGCTGAACATGCTTCCCACAAACATTCAGTAGAAGGAAAACACCATTCTGAATGCCCCTCTCCCAATCCAAATCCATCACAACCTTCTTTGGTCTGTACAGCTCAGTGCCCATTATGTCCAACATGTCCACCTACTCCATCATGTATTTCTCCATGTCCAACGATTCCCAAATGCCCTGAACCTCAGAAATGCCCTAATCCATGTGCAACATGCCCAACATGTCCCACCTGCAAGAAGTCTATACCCCCAGGATACGAGCATTTCCCAGGACATGGATATTATCGCTTACACACAGTTCCAGTTGACTGGATGACAGCTAAAGCAACATGTGAGCGAGAAGGTGCATATCTTGCCATTATCAATTCACAGGTAAGTAAGTAAATGGAATTGCATTTTTTAATGTGGAGTTAGTTACCAAAGAGTAACAAAGTAATTTATAAATATGTAAATCTAATCCAGAATCTGGAAATGTTGGAAACTTTTAAATTAGTGTTTCCACAAGGTACTAGGTAGATTCAAAGTAATTAAAAATGTGAAAATCTTTGTATGATCCATGATATCATAAAGATCAGTTCCCTCTGCAGCCATACATTTTGTTTGTTTTTAGGAAGAGGCCAATCTAGTGAAGAAATTATTTAATCGTGATCGTGATGTTGGAACTTGGCTTTACCTAGGATTCCATGACTTATACAAAGAAGGAAAATATGTAACCCTGTTTGGTAAGACCAGTTATTTAAAGATGATAAAGATGAATAATATGGGTTCATTTATATGAATTTAGAATTTAATAATAGTTCTAAAAACATATTTTCAATTAAATTTAATTAATTAATTGCAATTCTTTTTTTGCAATTATCCTTTTGATGTTTTATGAGCATGTGATGTGTGAAGGAACTTTAACCCGTTTCCAATTATAATTTTTTTTATTCCATCCTTACCTCAACATGGCTTTGTTAATATTGAAACCGTACTTAACACTAAAACAAGGTCTAAAATTAAAGTATTTAAATACTTGAATCCAGTTATGACTATTCTGGGCCAATTTTGGAATGTTTGTACATTTTCTAATACTTAAATATGATTTTGAAGAAAGAAAAATAAAAAAAAATAAAAAAAAGAATTCAGGATGTAGTAGACAAGTCCAAAAAATTTATTCTTACAGTTTCAATGAAATAGTTTTCATTTTATTTATTAATATTTACAAACAAGTTTGAAAACAATATCTTTTTGCAAAAGGATCGATTATTTGAAGTATTATTGAAAGATATACAACCGATTTAAACTAAATCAGGCCAAATTTGGCTGGATAATCCAAAATGTTTAAATATTGCAAATAATATTCAAATAAATATAATAGTTTTTGAAAATATTAAATTATAAACATTCAATAAAATGACAATGGGATTAATTTTAAATTTTGATTGAACTTTATTTACCTAATCAAACATTTATGCAATTTTGCAGTAGAAAACTATTTTGATTATTCTTTTTGTATACATTTTTTTGAGTAGTTCATGTTCAATACTCATCAAAGAAATATTCTTCAGTTATTTTTGGCTCATACTGGTTCTTATTTCACTCTTGTTTCATTTTTGTCATATTGACAAGTGATTGTCTGAAGAGTGAAAGTGATAAATTCAATATCACAATTGAAATCACACAGATAATGTTTCAGCACTCAAAAAAAATGTATGTGATAAATACAAACATAAGAGAAACAACTGATTCTTTTCAGATTGTAATTTATGCAATAACAAAATATCAAAACTAACAAATAAATCTCAAACTGTTGCATATCAAAACTAAAACAGTGTCATTAGTCAGCATTGAAAAATTAAACTTTGACATCATTGTATACTTTGGATTCAGTCCTTTATTACGAAAGATTCACAAAATTCATAATGACAAAACTTTTTTTCTTCATTAGTGAAGACATTTTTAAATGCTGTACCGTACCTACGAAAGTGCAGGGCCCCACAAAGCATGAGGCCTGTAGCACATGCACATGTCCTACTAGGAGGGAGCTAATATTATTATAATTATAAAATTATTCTATACTAAAATACTTTATTACAAAACTCATACCTCCTTTCCCATTTTTGCTTTTGTTATGAAATTATTGTTGTCTTTGTAAAAATTTGGGGGAGGTGGGGGGTGGGCACATAAGTGAAATTTTATCAAATACTTGGAGTAAATATTCTATAATTTTTGAACTATGAAAACAATGTATTGCAAATAATGTTATGAAAAATAGTTTTCCATTATTTCTTTAATAATTGTCAAATTGACATATTTATTTCTTCTCAGGTGAACCTTTGTCAGAGACTGGTTACATCACATGGAGTCCTGGTCAGCCTGATAATTCACACAACAATGAAAATTGTGGGTCAATGCACCCTGAAGGTGGACTTAATGACTTGAATTGCTCAGTCAAGAAACCTTTTGTGTGTGAGCTACCTGTCTAAATAGCAATAAATAATATTTTCTGTTAAATGAGAAAATGAAATAATTTAGGTCCAAAAAATTACTCTTAAAAGAAATTAACCAAAATTTTGAAGACAACTTTCTCTAAATTATATTTTTGTGCTTTCTGAATTTCAAGTGTATTGTTAATCGCAATTAGTGATTGTATGAAGTAATTTTCTCAATATATTTTAAAAAACTGGAGTTATTAATTCAGTAAAATTCTGTGATGAAACAACATTATCTTTAATGTTATAAATACACAAAATCTTTTTTTTTTTCTTTTCTGAAAAATCAAAACAAAAGTTTTTTTGTAACCAGAAAATGAAACAAATTTTGTTTAAAATATAAAGTATCCTAATATTATTCTGAGTCAATTTTTTATTTTGAGCCTATTTCTCAAAACACTCTTATTTTCTATTTAATATAGTCTCCTTTAAACTGATGGTGGGGTAAATACCCACCTGGAATTTTGACAAAAATTGGAAAAATTCCAACTTACCACATTTTTATCACCATCAACCTGATGAAAAAAATTATTTCTTAAATTGACCAAAAATGTTAATCACTATTCAAACTTTGATTTTGATTAGAGAGCAATTAGGACATAGTCTTGAGCATCCTCAAAAGAAAAGATAAATTTGGCGAATGAGGCATAAGGTCATAAATTAAGGCATAAGAAAATGAGTGCTGTATGGGACTTGTTCCCGATTATTTGTGATTTATTTGTCTGCTTATGATAATTCCGGGATAATCAGCTTGAACGAGAGAAGCTTTTCTGTGCTACACTGGGTAAAAAATTACTTGCATTTGACAATGCTGCAAAATTGACTCAATCATATAGCAATCTTGCACTCATACCGAGAGTTAGTTAAAAATTGATATTGAAATAATTGTTGGACGAGTTCATTTCTAAAAATTCCATTGAGTGTCAGTTTTCACTCAATGACATTTCAAGCATTGATCGATTACAAGTAAAATCATACAAGTAAAATACAGTTATCATATTTTTCTTTAAGAAAACTTAAATTCAATAAAAAATTACGTCCCCCCTCCACCATGACACTATCCACCTGGAATTTATACATATCTTCAGCCCTGGAGTGAAGTATGAATTTTAAGACATATTCAAAACCAGCATAGAAGGACAAAGAACCTCTAACAAACATAATATTCAAATTCATACAGATAGTTCACAGATAATTCTTAATCAATGATATCAAAAGGTGCGGGAAGGGGGGGGGGGGCATAGGGTTTCAGCCACCCTCCAGAAACTGATGAAATATTTTACAAATGTAATTATTAATTTTCGATAGTAATGAAAGTCATTCAGTATCTGAATTGAATGCCTTATAAAAAACTAAATCAACAAATAAAAATAAATTTTAAATTCAGCATAAAGGAATAACAAAACATGAAGAAAGCCAAACACCACTGACATCTCTCCCTAGAGAAAATTCTGGTTTGCGCCAGTTTTTCAAAATTATTCATTGGATAATTTATTTTAAATAATATTAATTATTTAGTTCCATTGTATTTTTTTTCTCTAAATTAACTGATTCAAGGTTGCTGTTCACCATTAAAATACATTACTCAAAAGTAGGTTTGTACCACATGTAATCGTATGTTACAGGGAAGTGTTTCAGTATTGATGACCCATACCTCTAAGGTTTACAACATATTTTAATTTTAAATTAGTTCAGATTGCAGATTTCAATGTCATCAGCAATGTAATGGCTAAAGGTTGATATTAAATTACAGTGATTATGCTATTAATTAAATATCCACCTAAGATACAAATTTGATGGTTCTTGTTCAATCAAAAATATACATATACAATTTTATAATCTTCATTTTACCACCACATCCTACTATGATGTCTTCATATTCCAGCTAAATCTTATTTTTATCATTTGTGTAAATCATTATTAAAAAAATTAAAAACAAAAAGATAAATTAGTAAATGTAATTATGAAGACTACACATTATAACAAATTCTATGGAATAACATGTGGCTTATGTGTCTAGTTGTGTGGGAGTTAATTCATAATTATTGCTGAATTCTAATTACTGCTAAGTGAAAAAAACAAACAAAATGTGATCATGAACAATGAGGAATTTCTTTCAGGACGTACATCTTATTGTTCAAAGATCCAAACAAACAAAGTTTGAGATCTCAGACTGCCTAGAAATGTGGTTGATGACTCATTTGAAAGCTGGAGGGTGTACATGTAATTGGGTTTCAATACCTCTTCTGACCTAGCTACAATCTATATTTCTTAGAGTGTAATTTCAATGCAACATTCATATTCAAACATTTTTTATGCAAAACAACAAAATTATCTTCACCAGCTCGAATCGCCATCAGAAGATGTTGTTTCATTAACTTCTCAAAAAGCTTTCATGCTGAGCATAACAGCCACGCAGAGAGGGTTCAAGGACTGCTTAAATGCTGTCCACTAGAACCACGCACCTTTTCTTCTGTCGCTGAAGGAAGATTCTCTCTTTGAGGTGCACGTTGTACATCACTAACAGTACTTCGTGTTTCTAGGTGCGTCAACTAGCTAGCTACTTGACAGCGTGCTATGGTCATGAGTTCCGTATATGCAGTGCGTGTTTTTATCATAGGTGGTGTTCTTTTTTTTTTAATATATATATATATATACATCCGCTCAGGACGAAACACATACTACGCTGTCCCGGCAGCTCCAGTTCTTTTTTTTTATGCACTATGGCAGCAAGTATAACCGATATTTACTGCAGGTTTTACATCATTGTGTTGGACTGTTATCCGAATAAGTATATTAAGCACCCATAGCATCAAATTAAAAGAATAAAAAATATACTAAAGAAATATTCTGGTTCAGATGCATTAACAAAATGAAAGCAAATACTGTTAGAAACGATTTTTTTATGTTGATGACAAGGATGCCAAAAACATCAAATAGGGTCAAACTAATAATAATAAATCTATATTACGTATCAATATACATATATGACATTTAATACTATAATATATAATATAAACTATATATATATTATATATATACATATATAATAATATATATATATATAAAATATATATATTATATATATTATATAGTATAATTACATACATACATATACATACAATATAAATAACTAACATAATTAAAAAATGAGTTTGATTATTTTAAAAACTAATAAACTGAAATGTTTAAGTCTAAATCGAAATTAAAGCTGGTGAGCTGACACATCGATAAGCTGACAAAAACGAATTAAAAAAGTTAGAACAAAGAACTAACTTAGACAAATTGTACGCTAATTAAGGCCCACACAATACAATCATTATTTATTTTAAATATTAATATTTATATGTAAAAAATAATAACAAATTGCAACGTACAGATCGTATAGGAAATGAACCAACAGATTAATTGCGAAAAGCAGAGAGAAACACCAAAATGCATTTTGACGCTGTTGTATTCATATAATTGTACATATTTGTGCGATAAGGAAATAATTAAGCTCATCAAAACTTTAGTTAAAGCTGCCCCCAACAATTACAACTCAACCCCAAGGAGATTTTCTGAAAAGAGAAACAAAATAACAAGAAATAAAAAACAAACAACATCCACCCCCAATTGAAGAGGTTACTACCTCTGGTTCAGAGAAAGCTCGATTGTCAGTGTGGACACCATGACTCCATTATCCACAATAATTCCATGTACAAAGTAAAATACGCGCACCAGAAGAAGAGGAAGGAAGGATGACAAAGAAAATCAAAAAAGTAAAACCAAAGTCCTTAACTGCTGATTTTCCCGATTCAAATCAGTGAACTAATGGCCGTATCCACGTTAGAGCGCACTGGGACTGTTTACTTGCCAGAAATCACACACATTACGAAACAGTATCAACTTATTTCGCATTTTCATGCCAATTCGACTGATTTATTGTGAATGTAAAACGAGACAATAAGTATACAAATCATTATTAAGACACACATCACTTCTCTACAGATTTAAAATGGCACATTCCCTAATGACAAGTATCATGTCTAATCCAGAATCTACACCACTGTTATTTCTGTTTTGTGAAGCAATTCAACGTGTCCTCCTTTATGATGCCGTCGCAGAGGAAGCGTCGTAGCATTGTTGAGTAAATCGGCTATTTCTAATTGGACTCCGTTCTCAGCGCACCTGGTTTAAATATGCCTTCAGGTCAGCGGACGCGCCCCCGGACGAGTTGTTTGTAATTCGCTTCTACGTGCTTGAAGTAATTTCTTTATTGCGCCTGTTTTCTAACAGTGAGGCAATTTTTTCTTCTTGAGTAAATATTGTGGGATTATGTCGGGAAAAACTGGATTTGTGCTTGGAGTTTTCTAACATAATGCATCTATAATTCCCCTTAAACATAATATGATCTCCCAAAATAAAATAATTGGTAAAAATAGCAATTAATTAAGGTAAAATATTACTTTCGAACAACATGATGCTGCTGATAAACAGACATGATTCGACAACTAGTAGGAAACTTCTTTGTTAGCATTTGTTATT